TTATGGATATTTCATATTATAGTCAATGTAAAACAATAACAGTAGAGAACAACTGATAAACTATACAAAGAACCCAAACAGTGAACACAATAACTGCAGGAGGTTTGTGTAAAATGAACGATTTGGATGTGTTTGAGCAGATTATTCCCTGCAAATATTGATCTGAAATGAGTTTTACTGATATTTTTAGGAACTTTTTATACAATCCTCTGTCTGTGTATCCTATGATGTTTTTATATTTTCAACAATAACATAATTAATAGGCTTATTTGTCTTCTGTTTTCTTATTTTTCCGCAATAATCACACAAACATGAGCAACAATTACATAAACAAACAAAAAGAAAACCTATAGGTTATATAAAATCTGTTGCAGGAGTTAAGGTTCAGTAGCATCCTTGTAAAATAATGGAAATCAGATCCAAGATAATTCAAATAAGGCTGCTATACTTTGTAGAATTGATCTGCTTTGGTATGCAGAATAGTTGTAAGGTATTTCCAAAGGAACCAGCTCAAATATGACTTCACACCAACCATTAACAGAAGGGCCCTTATCATTCGTCTACTGTAATAATATATGTTTTCTAGCAGCAAAAGTAAGAATGTTATGTAACATTTTGTTTGCTACATTAGTTATATCCCTATACTTGGGAGGCCAAAGACATTGGTCTCTCTGTCTCTCTCTGTCTCTCTGTCTCTCTCTCTCTCTCTCTCACCCCAACTGGTCGAGACAGACGACCACCCACCTAGAGCTGGAGGATCTGTCCTAGGTTTCTGCCTTTTAACAGGCAGTTTTTCCTTGCCCCCGTCGCCAAGTGCTTGCTCATGGTGGTACTGTTGGGTCTCTGTAAATAATGTTTTAAAGAGTTCGGTCTAGACCTGCTCTATTTGAAAAGTGTCCTGAGATAACTTCTGTTTTGAATTGGTGCTATACAAATAAAATTGAATTGAATTGAATTGAATTGAATTGGATCAGTGACGTGCGGTCTCATCATGAAAAAAATAAAATTTAGAATAAACAAATAAATTAAATGGTTATATTTATCAAATATATACTAATATATACATACAACTAAAACTATAAACAAATTTTCCATTTAACTTAAACAATTTTGATTGTTTTTTATTAAATATTATTATTTCTAATATTATTTAAAGCATTTCCTGTTCAAATACGGGGAAGAGACGCACGGTGCAGCAGCAGCAAGCTGAGCCTCACCTTGGATTGCGCAAACCCTCACAAACTGTGCTCTGCCATGCAATGAGAGCGTGTCACTGTCTCTCTGTATGTCGCCAATCAAACCTAACCTGTTTCGTGTGCTCAGCGATCTTACAACGGCAGTGAAGAGGCACTAGGTGAGGCAGGCAGTTCTCTTGCCGCGTGGTAGGGGGCACTCTTGAGCCCAGAGATTCTTATGCTACTCTGCAGCTGCAGAGTCAGTGACAGCGAGCTAGCAACAATCTTACAGTCCGTGGTTAAAATTAGCGAGTCAAGTGCAGCACTACATTTTTTTCCCTTTCGCCCCGCCTGGTTTCAGAATGGAGGATTATATATCCAAGCTCAAACAATTAAAAAAAAGACCATAATAACGTTTTTTTAAATGAAATGTGTGTCACATGGGCTACAGTTTGTATGTGTAAAGAATGCTGATATGAGATATGAAACATAACCCGTTAACTGCTGCTGATCAAATGGTGAATAATCTACTCTGTTGGGTTCATATATTTGTAAATCTGATTCTGATGAAGTCAGTGCCTCACCAGCCATGAACCTCACCGTACGTCACTGCATTGGATCCATTTCCAATTGTTAAATATCTTTCCTATTTCAGATAGCGTTTCAGACCAGTACTTCTGTAGTTTACAACATGACCAAAGGCAATGAGTTGAGATACCTATTTCAGTTTTACATTTGAGACAAAGAGGAGAAAATGAGCCGTTAAATGCCTGCGGTTAGGGGATATATGTATTCTATGTATAATTGTAAATTGGATTGCTTTTGTTCAAGGACATATGAATATCTAATAGTATTTTCTTCTTATTCTTCTATTAGTTCTGTAGTTGTTTTAACTTTTCTAATGCAGGACAAGGCTGTTAATCAGAGACTGAATGGTCAGGGAAAATAGCTTGTGTTCAGGTCTTCAAACTTTAGATCTTAAATAATAATCTAAACAACAACAATTTCATTTAGTTTTTTGTTATAGAAATGCTGAGAAAGGCCACAGTTTTCTTATACCCCTTAAAATCAAGAAGGTCTCATGACCCCCTGTGAAGCTTTGGTGACCCCTAGTGGAGGTCCCGACCTCCAGGTTGGGAACCACTGGATTAATCCACATTTAGTGAATATTTGCGGCAGCAGGATGTAGTGTACCTACTGAGTATACCTACTTATTTGTCAGTCGCCATTGGGTATAAACACTTCTAAATTCTCTCTGATGAGCATCATTAAGTAGGATTCTGCAAACTGAATTCTGTCATAGGATGGCGAAGGCACAACGTAGTTTTCCAGTTTTCATGGAGCATTTAAGACTTTATAACACATGTCTCCTCTCTTTAAATCATGGTTTCATCTGGGGGCAGGGGGAAGCAGAAAGAAGAGTTAGCACCAGTCACAGACAGAGAGAATACATTATGCTTTAAGTCTAACATTAATAGCTTGTTCTTTTTCCCATGATGGGGGAGCAGAGGCCTGGCTGGAACGGTAATGATGCAGAGGCTCCACTCCGCCATACCTGAGGAGCCATTGATCACTGACAAAAGAACAGAAATACACTGGGGCTTTTCATGATGCCTGTATTTCATCACATATTTCAATGTACAGAAAAGCCATTTACACTTATCACCTTGATAGCCATGTCCACAGCAAAAACAGAGTCAAGATATAGTCTATCTTTTGTACCTATTCCACTCCCATTTCTTTCCCTTTCACTATCCAACTTGCAGTAATTACATTTCATTTTAATACAAATCATCGTCTCAAATCATAATAAAACAAGCTGTGACAATGTGCAGAGAGGATTCTTCTTAGACAGAGAGTGAATTCACTGCCTGCTGGTACAGATTTTAATAACATCCCGTTTGAACACCCATCTTTTCTTGACACAAGCCTGGTGTGGGAGATAGTGAACACAGCGAGGTGTTGGAAAAAGATCACATCTCTTCCATTCTCACTGTGCTTTTTCTCTCTCAGGCTTGTGCTTGCTGAGTATGGCAGTCTGTAAGTTTCAATCTTCTGTTCAGCAGATAGAAAGGAGACAATGTTTTCTCACTGTCTTGCATGGATGTCAAATTCACCACTACAACACAAGCGAAACATGTTTTGGTCTTGTCCGCGAGGTCGACAATGACAACAGACGCGCAGAGAAAGTCAAGGAAGACATGAAGAAATTGTTGTATGATTGCACCTTTGATGACTTGAAAAGATTTGCTCTTGAATGCAAGCAAAAAGAAAGATGGGTTTGCAGCAGCCACATGAATGCTAATAATTTTAGCAGCTTTTGGTTTTTGTAAAGCAGCATGATATTTTCACCACAAGTAATAGTTTTCTAGCAAATCCACTCTGCTAAATATGGGTCTTTCATTTGTGATACCTTAACATTAAGATGTATGAAGCTCGGGGATACAGTAGTGGGTATATTAGTAATTTGTGCCGTTGAATTATCCTCGAGTTTCTATTAAAGGAAAACAAAGGTGTATTATATCTAGGCTTTCAGTTCTGGTCAGCGTAACTGTGAAGATCAGTGCTTTCTGGACTAAAAAAGGTGTCAGTACAACACTGACCACAACACAACCCCAACCATTTTAACTTGGACATTTTCTTAGCATTAAAGGTGGGATCAGCCAGTACGAAAAAATGTATGTATTAAGACATATAGATGGACAAAAATCAGAAGTGCAGGTAGCTAGAAACACAATCGATCGGATGATCAGGCGAGTTGTAAACTACAGCAAGCTGGCCAACGTTTAAGCAGGAAGTCATCTGTTTACAACTGAGAGTTTGGGTAATTATTTCACTTTTATTTTTGCTTCCAAATTAAGGCTAAATGTTGGAAATTTACAACCTGTCTGATTATTTGACTGCATGTGTTTCTTGCCCCATCGGACTTGCATCAAGGTTACTGTTTTCTCAGTGTAGTAGTTATCATTACCAATAGACCTACCAAAATAAAACCCACTTTGTAATACACAGTTATTGTCCTTTAATGTCTTTGCTTATTGCTCAGTTAAGTGCACAAGTACCACTTTAATGCAGCGCAAAACAGAATTAGCATTTTTGCTCGTCTCTAAGTCAGTGGGTTTTTTGAATGGGTTTTTGGTTAGATGCCTTAAATAAGGTCTGTGGTTAACACAAGCTGAAGAGATTTTCACTCCACCTGTGAACTTTGATGCTTCAATGTGTCTTAAAAGGGGCGCCCGGTTAGCTCAGTCGGTAAAGCTGTTTTGTAATGATTTTGGACTGAAATGGAAATACTTTGGATTTTGCCTGTTAAACACAACTTGTAATCTCTAACATCCCTTAAATTTGATGTCAAATTGTTATGCTCTGTTGTTTATTTTTATGAGGATCTGTATAAAAATCTTACACCTAAAACCTGACCGGGTATATATAAACTTCAAGTAAACCACTACCAAACTATTTTTGAGCCCATAAACAAACAAAAAGCATCAGTGAGAAGACAGCTTCTGCTGATGTTCTCACAGAATTCCTAAAACTGGTCAAATTTGGTGGACATGTATTAGATTACTTTTAGGCACAAAACAGTACATGGCCCTGTTCTTCCAGTGTAATCAGAGAAAAATGTTTGGAAATAGTGTAAAAGGCAAATCACATAAAACCATAAAAAAATGTTTTGTTCTGTTCAGAAAACTTTATCATAACAGCATCATTTTATCTGGTTAGCTCACCTGGTTACTACAACGTGGCTGATATCAAAGGTTTTCGATTATATGTAGCCTTCTTGCTCTGGTACGAACATTGCTTTTTCAACAGGAAGCAACAGTCTATAAGAAACGTGGTTTTAATTTGAAATCCAGCACGGATGGATCAGATCGGACTCTTTCATGCTTTATAAAAGGACCAGTGTGTAGGATTTAGTGACATCTAGTGGTGAAGTTGCAGATTGCAACCAACTGAAACACCTCGATTCAACCAAGCAGGTAGCTGTTCTAGGATACTGTAGAAACATGGTGGACTCCATAGAAAAATGCCTCATTCTAAGGTAAAGAAAACACAACAATTCTTATTTTCAGGTGATAATACACTAATGAAAACATACCTATGAATATTATCTTCCATTTCGGCCAATAGATCCTTCTAAATGTTACACACTGGACCTTTAAATTTAAAATAACGGACTAAGTTTAATATACAAAAACAAAAAAACAGTGTGACAAAATTCATACTGTAAATGCATATTATAACAATGAACCAATATGTACATTACAATGACAGATTGTACAATATACAAACTTGATACATTCTATAATATAGTAAAATGGCAATTAAATTGCAGCAGGATGCAGTACAATATAAATATTTCCTTTCCAAAGATACAATATTTTTCATTTAACATTTGATAAACAAAATAAACAGCATGTTCATGAGGAGTGTATTTCTTTACAACCAAACTAATATCAATGTATATGACCTTTAATAGAGTTTGGCCTTATTTTCCAGATTGTAACCCAGTTACAGTGTTAAAATATCTTTCTATCCATCCATCTACTGCATCCATCCTTCCATCCATCCATCCATCCATCCATATACCTATTCTCCTATGGATCATCCATCCATCCAACCATCCATCCGTTAACTATCCTCCCCATGGATCATTTATTGATCGACCCATCTATTCTTCCAGCCACCACCCACCAGTCTACCCATCCATCAATCCATCCATCCATCCATTCATTCTTTTTTCACTTGCTTATTATGGTCAGACTGCTTAAACTCTGACTGATCCCAGTTACTTACTGTAGCTTTCTAACACAGTAACTAAGTTTTACATTCTGAGATGTGTTCATTCATCAGGTGAATATTTAGCCTTTTGATATACTTTTGGTTTCAACTTTCCATTTCCAATAAGTTACAGGTAAAAAAAAAAGGAGCTGTCATCTAAACTGTTTCAAATAGGAAATGTTTGGGCTCCTTCCTGTGACATGCCATCTATTTTTAAATACAGTGGTGCTATTTCAGATTTCTCAGTGAATAGTTCATATTATTCAATCTGTCAGTAGAAATGCAATACAATGCCGGATAAAAACTGGTGTATAACAATACAGCAGTCATACAGAAAATTGATCTTTACCCCCCAAAATATGCAATATTAGACTAACACTGATGTTTATTTACATTTACTGATATGTCCTCTTGCCCCCTTCCATGAATGAACGTTGAGTGTACAATGCTATTTTCCTCTCTGAAAAGGTGAAACCACACCGCTGATGTTAGGAAACAGCCCAGGTGCTACCTGCTAAAAAAAAGCATTTCCCTGAAAAATCAATTGCAGCAAAATAGCCAAACAGTTCCCTGACTTTTCCCACCACAGATGGTAGTTCACTTTAGAAAAAAAGGAGATGATCTGTCAAAGAAATGCTTTTCAGGCTACCTGGCTTATGATGGCGACGCTCACAAATTGCTAACAAATGTTAATATCTCAGTAACAAAAACAGTGGTGTAAGCGCTTTCGACATGGACTTCAAAAGACTCATGAATCTGATAACGATGTTGTAGAGCTGAACTATTGCTTGGTTTCAGCAAAACAACCCGACGCTCAGATCCGCAAAGGAATTTCAAGGTTAGAATACAATCAATCTGGTCTCTGATTGAGTATGTGTCTGAACACTAGCTAGCCATGAACCGCTATATGGAAATGGAGATATACATTGGAGACAAAATGGCAGGACATGAAGAGATCTGTATGTATGAATTAATACACTATTCTCAATATGATCGAACTCAAAATGGTAAATGTGCATTCCGCAGCATCCTTGCAAACTCATCTGGGATTCTGATTGACCAGATGGCATCTACTTTGAGTTATTGTACATGACGTGTTTACATGCACACAAATCAGAAACACAATGCTGAAATGTTCACAAAAAGCTTGCAAGTGAAAATCCCATTATGTAGAGATGAGTCCAAGTAGCATAACATGTCACAGAGATAAATCTGTTTCCTTTACACCACCAGCCCATTCATCTAAAGAAGAAATGCGCTGCAGTAACGCTTAATTTCCATCAAAAGCTATCTGGCTTCTTCTGTCTACTATTCACTGTGCATGTGTAAAGAATACACTGGAAAACCCAGTATGATTGATTTATTTTCTCACATGCATTTTCTGCAGAAATGTATCTGTCATTAGCTGATCAATTCTTTTAGAATTAGGTTTTCTTAATTGTTGCACCAATCATTATATTTTATATGAACAATGAGTCATGACTGCGTGTGTAAGTAAGTAATTTGTAAGGAGTCGCTCCTAGTGACCACTGAGAATTATCACTCAGCTCTGCAGTTCCACTCAACTCCATCTTTGTGGCCTCTTTTAGCTCATTGTCTTGGTATTACACCCTGGAGTTACTGTTTGGTCCTATCACTCTCACCAACCTTGTTTCTGGATGCATCAGAAAGCTGCTTTTGGGTCTGTGTCCAAATAGTGTTTTTATTTATTTTTTTCTGAAAGCCAGTCTTTTTTTCCAATAGCTCCCAGTGAGGAGCGTATGCGACCGCATGTGGCCACCTACAGCAGTTTTCATTAATTTACTTCCTCTTAAATACGTGTTTTTAGCCAAGTACCCCCTGACCAGCGCAAAAAAAGTGTGGGTAGAAAATAAATGCCTATTTAAAGAGGTAAAATACAGCACTGTGCCAGTGTCTGATATACTAAGAGAAACACTTAAATGCTTTTTTTCAGATTTTTAGAATCTATCACTTAATTCATGGAAAAACAATTTTTGTTGTCACAATAACACTAAGATGGCACTGAAGTTGCGTTGACGGGAGTTGATGTGAACTCGAGTTTTGTTCGCAGTTGTTGCTGTACACAACCTGTTTAGCCAATAGCGAATTGGTAGAAATTGGCAAGATATTGTTATCATAGAAACAAAACCCATGTGCACCCATGTGCTATCACTGTGCCATGTGCTATCACATGTGCTATCACTGCAAAAGCAATTCACCCCAGTTCTGACAAAAAAATAAAAAATGCTATGTGGACACAGGCCATTAGGCAAACAAGCTACTTACATGTAGCCATATCAACTTTACAAGACAGTTTCTGCTCCCCATGAAAATGAAAAAAAATAGTGTTATTTATTCCTATTTCACCTATATTGTTGTCATGTTTGCAGTAGATTCAAATGGAAATGCATGTTCGACCAAAGACACAATTTGTGTTAATTCTCATGGAGCACGAAAGGATCTCTAATGAATATATAAGTTTCTGTGCAAAACAAAACATTCTATCTGTATAATACCTGTGAGGATATAACACAACTATTTTTTCCAGAGTGAACCATATATAAAATAAGCATTTTTTCCCCTTCAGTGCAGAACAACTGGGTTATAAATTCAAATATGAGAAGGAGATATATCTCAACCTCTTAGAGCAATTTATACAGGGTGAGAGAAGGGGCATGTTGAGATAATACATCTGGTGTAACGTAATGACATTATGTGGGTGCTCTACCAGGACAGAGAAAGGCAAGCAAGACAACTTCTAGGTTCTTATGAAGACCACAGCTCTGTGAAGTGTCTGTATTCTGAACCCAAAAAGTCAAAGCAGCTAAAGTGTGTCAGCGGAGGCAGAACCGGATCTGAAAAGAGTTTTGCTTCAGCGTAGCATAGCAGCAAAACAGGGCACCTTGCCAAAGCCTGCTAACAACCAGCACATGGAATTGCTCATTTTTCCCCATCCAAGTCAGAAATTGGATTTAAGTTTTCAGGTGCCAGCCCAACCACTTGGGAATTGTATTTTCTACAGTATGTAATCTAAATTCATCCAACTTTGGATATGAAGTTCAGTGTCCACATCCATGCGGTCTTCAGTTCTCCACCGAATTTAAAGTCTTATCTGGCCCACTGCGGCATTCAGGCATGTTAAGGTTCCAGCTTTTTCCAGAAGCTTCATCGAGAACCTTCGATGATTCAGACATGAAAAAAACTACAGTTGAAAAAATGATTGCAGGCCATATTTGTAGTACAACATGAAGAACTACAAGTAGAAAATTAATAGTCGTTGAAGTCCAGCTTAGGAAATTACAGTTGAAAAAACACTGTTATCAGTCATTGTTTGCAATCCAACAAAAGCGTTGGTAGTCCAACATAATGAACTACAATAGTCAGCCATGTTTATCTGCTGTCCTGAGACATCTCTCCCCATGTACTGGCTTCATTTTCATCCGAGTCAGAGAGTGCTGCTGTACACAGGTCACTGAAGATATCTGGAAAAGCAAGAAAGATTAAAGTCAGATTCAACTTTAAATACAATCTTATTATATAATATACAAAACAAGCATGGGGCGATATGTGCAAACTGTGGCATTCAAACACAGCATTTAAGAATAGGGATGCACAGCCTGGGCTGCAGTGCCAATAAAACATAACCAAGCACCAAACAACGCCGCTTTAATAGGAGTGTAAAACAAGGGGACATAATAGTGATGCGTTCAATATCTGCAACAATATCAGCAAGGAGAGTGCATAAAGAATTATAGGGAAGGCAGACACGAGCAATCAACGCAGACAGGTGAAGAGGGCTTTTTGTAAATGGGCCCCACTTAGCCAAAAGACTGAAGGTCAACTGCTAGAGCGTGGAGTTCTGTCCTTCTCAAGTGTGAAAAAAAACAACTCAGAAACAGAAGGAAGAGATAAAAGGAGGGGGAAAGGAGGGCAAGTGAGGAGAAAGGAAGGGATAGTTGTTTTGAAGAGGGGCGGACAGAGCTCCGTAACAAAACAAGCAAGGCCACGACAAACACTTCAAGGGCCAGCCTTCAAGCCGGCATGAAAGGGAGGAGATGGTGGAGAGATGGATCGAGGCCAGAGGGGACATTGAAGCGAGAGAACAGAGAGGGAGAGAAAGAGCCCAGGAGTGGCTGTCCTGTGAGAAAAAGTATTTTGTGGCACCAAACCATGAACTTCAACACAGTATTGAGAAAAACAATCTGTGCTCAAGTTTCAAATAAGGTTCAGATTGATATCAATGGTGTGTGTATTTAGAGCTCTCAGTTTTCTAAAGACTTATGAAGTGAGTACTTCTCCCCTCAGTAAATTCCTGTTTTAAAGTTCCCTTTTATTGATGTTGTCATTCTTTCTCAGCTTAGAAATACATGCGTCTCCTGGATACTTTAAAGAGCAACTTAACTCTAAATCCTATTTTTTGAGTCAATATATTTAATGTATAGTGCCTTTATTGAATGATCAAGTGCTCTGGGTTTTAGTATTCAGTGTTAAAGGTGCAGTAAGTGGTTCTGCTTTCAGTTTGTGATGCCTGAGTGCGCCAGATGGTTTGTTACAGTGAACGATCTGGGAAGTTGCTGTTGGAAACTGTTTGGAAAAAGGCTATAATGTGTCTGGGCCATGTTCAAGTTAAAACAAGCTATCGAGTTGCTCTTTTACTATACTATAGGTTCACAATAGGGCCACTGGTTTGAATTATTCCAACTGTGCCATGATGTTTTTACCAGTATGCCGTAGCTGATGGCTCTAAATACCCATAAGCGGAAGCCACCTTTGTTATGGAGAAGAAGCCAGTGAGAGGTGCAAATCAGAGCTTTATTGTTACAGTTGGAATCAAAACACTGTGGTGTAGTTGCCAGATTCAGTTAAACTGGCAATTTTTTCACGAGGTTTCTGTAAAACCTGATCTTCAGCTTCAGCTCGCTGTTAGAGCATTCTCACAGAGCTTGCAGAGTTCTCACAGAGCTCGTAGAGTTCTACGTTTGGTAATTAGATGTTTCTTATGACTCCTTGGGAGTTGCACTTTGCTACTCCATAGGGTACCTTATGTCATCCTTGATGTGACAAATATTTCTTGAGCACACATTTTTTCAAAATGACGAATCAAGACACGTGTCAGATACATATATATCTTATGTCACTGAGGTCATAAATCTTGGCCTCAAAATATTTTTTTCTTGCTACATCCACTCCCAGCAGCTATAAATGAGTGAGATAGACAGAAATCATGGGAAGAGTGTTAGAGGGAATGTGCTGCAATCAGTGACATCATGCTCTGATTATTCAAAGCTCTTCCCTCCCCAGCCGCTCCATCCTTCCATCCAACCTGAATCCTATCCAACAGTCCCTCCCTCTCCCAGAGCAGCGGCCCACCCAAGCCCACCCAATCCCTCCTGGCCCAACTGCCATGAGAGAGTGAGGGAGCAAATGACGAAGTAGGAGTCAAGGAGGGGAGGGAGGACTGGGTGGGTGAGTAAGTGTGCTACAGCAAGGCTGCCAGTGGTTAGTCAGAAGTAGCAGTGTTGTTACTTAATGAGTGACCTCCTTCAGATGCTGTTTGAAGTATATTGGACGGGACCAGCCCCGTCTCCTCTGTTAAAAGGTTCTTGACTAGCCTAGAACATGAAACACAATGCAGGGGAGGGTCTTCACTCGTACACAGGTGGAAAGTAAATAGAGTCACACTTTATTCTACAGGTCCCATTGTTTTCCTTATTTCTTAGAAAGGAATTGCTATGTAACAGTAACTGTTTACCCAAAGTACTTTTCTTTTAATAACAAAAAATATGAGAAAGGAGGCTCATGATCAAAATGTCAAAACATACCATACTGTACACATTCTATAATAATTCAAGAAGCAAAAAAAAATCAATGATGGTGAATTCTCACAAATAGTCTAATGGCATAAGTATACACAAATATAATACTTGCAGATGGGTCTGAAAAAAGGTTGGCAGCCATTTTGACATGAAATAGTAGGGTAAACACAGCTGTTTCCAAAGATACCAATTCCCATTCAGTGTAGCAGCCTTTCCAGAGAGCCAACATGCACAATAGCAGCACCCTGACTCTGATTAAACTGAATAGAACAGAACATGAATTAATATCATTGGTAACATAATTAGTATAAAAGTAAATAATCAGTAGCATTGGTGTACCTTACTATTTCACGTCAAAATGGCTGCTGTGAAAAAGGTCTATTATTTTTAGCTATTGACATTTTACGGACAGCAAGTACAAAACAAATAGAGGGACTTACTCTAAATAATAATGTGTACTGATTTTCAATGTATGCTGTGAAATTTTACAATAGCACAAAAGTAACGTTCAGTTGTACATGAAAAAATATAACATTTCTCCTTTTCTGCAGTTGTTGTAAAAATGGCCACAACAATGAAATTGTGAAAACAGTTAAGTGCTCTCAGTTACTGCTACCACAGTTTCAATGTTATCTGAAAAGGGCATCAGTGGAACAGATAAACCACTTGCTGCAGATTGTTTAGGGCAAACTAACAAGCCCTCTCTACAAGACCTTTTTGTTGCATAAGTAACATAATCATACATGATGGAACAGGTATAAAAATGGGCAAACAAAACTTAGCAAGTCCAAATCAATCAGTCGATCAAAGGAGATAACAGATTATGCTTAAAGGACCAGTGTGTAGGATTTAGTGGCATCTAGTGGTGTTATTGCAGATTGCAACTCTGTCGCTTCACCTTCTCCTTCCAAGCACAAAGTAGAAATTATGGCAGCTGCGAAATGTGCAAAATCACAAATGCCTCTATCTAGAGCCAGTGTTTGGTTTGTGTTGTTGTCGGCTATTATAGAGACACTGTGTTTGTATACCAATGAAAATGTACCTATGAAAATTAAATTCAATTTCTGCCAACAGATCCTCCTAAATGTTACACACTGGAACATGTTCTTGTAAAGTTGTAATTTATACTGAAGAAACACAACACACTTCCATAGTAAGTCTTGATGTGACTGCTCTCTAAAATAGCCTGACAGCCTCTAAAGAGGAAGAAGCTCTGAAGCACAGTTACATCTATGTGATTAAGTAACATCACAACCTCAACCAGAGAATACATTTCTTTCTGGAGAGTATGATAGAGTAAACACTGGTCTTATGTTTCCTAAAACAGTCGCAAATACAGGGAAATGTATTTGCGACTGTTTTAGACAGTTTTAAATGAGGCTTCATCGGAGTGATTTGTCAGTTAGGTGCTGGACAACGTCTTATTGAGTGGCATAATTGGTTTTGCAGAGCTTGATTACAGACCACACACACAATCAGAGAGAGAGGGAGAGAGGGAGTAAGAGAGGGGGATGTGCGTTTCACAAACCTGGAATCAAGCCAACTCATTGAAAGTCTTATTGAAAGGTTGTTGATGAAGTGTTTAAGCATTTGTCAACACCTTTAAAATATTTTGGGGGATATTTGACTAAGAGGACAAACCTGGGTAGAAACATGTAAATAGAGACCTGAATTGAATTTGTGAATTGAAGCCCACGATGACAGAGATATATGGTCTAAGTTAAACCACTGAAGGTCAGCAAAAGCAAGATTTTCAGCAGCTGTTAAAATGCTCTTGAAGGTGAAATTAATTATAATATATATTGAACAACTGAATAAGATGCACTACTTAGAGACTCACACCACCAGGCAACCCCCAAAATCCAGCAATATGGATAATCAAATAATCATGTGTGACTGTACCGAAACAGAAAATAACATCTTATGATGCAGTTTAATTGACTCATTTATGATGCAACTTGTAAGAAAAAAGGCAATAAAACATGAAATTGCAACAGTGGATGGAGAGATTAGCGCAAACTGTGCAGAGAGTTTGAGGTGAGTACATTTTGTGAAACCAAAGTGAGGTTCAGCTGAGCTATGGTTCTAGACTGTAACCTGATGAACTGGATTATAACGGAACTAAACTGAATTCCTGATTACTATTTGTCTGCTTCCTTTCCATTTGCCAATAAAGCAAACAATCACAATTTCAACACCACACAATGTATGATGCGAGCACGGGCATAGGGTGAAAACCCAAGTAAACTCTGTTGATCCATTTCTTTGAAGTAAGGCTAACCCCCAAATTCCACCGGACATGGCAGCTGGAGCTGATCGTGCTTGTTCCAGGCAATGCTCTAAATTCCACCAGAAGTGCTGTGGCGCATCCCTGACGGAAATTTTAAAAATTTTTTTTTTTTTTTTTTTTTTTTTTTTTTTTTTTAAATATAAAAAAATTTTTTCCCTTTTTTTTCCCATTTAATTTTTAAGGGAATTAATTGCATTATCATACAATTATGTTCATAAAAAATACTTCTTTCAACATTTCTCAAAATTATTGGTAAATTTTAGTAAAAACAGATGCTGGTCATGGTAAACAAACCGTTAACGTAAGGCAACTAAAACAATGTTGGGAAGGGTTAGGGTTACTTTACTCTATATAAAAAGTCAAACTACCCCCTGAA